TTTTTTTTTTTTTTTTTTTTTGCAGTTTCAGAAAATTAAGGATGCAATCGAACTGCATAACACGGCACGTTGTAGCATTGGCCCACCTACAGGCATTGGGGATCTAAACCTGGAAGGATCTTCTTCACAACCAAAAGAAAACCAGCAGAAAAATCTCGAGAATGGCCCTTCCCTTTAGATCGGTTTATGCATGTGTTATTCGTGAGTAAATGTATGATAGCCATATTCTTCTTTGTATAGGCCCGTGGCCTCTTTTTTTTTTTTATTTTTTTTTTGGCTTTTATTTTGATTTTCAATTTGGTGTGTAGTAGAGGACATGATATTTTATGGGAAATTCAACATTTTCTTTCAGTTTTACGCTAAAAGAATACATGTTTTCAACCATAACTCGTGTTCTTTTAGTGTAATTAATTGGTTCAAAGGTAGTTTATTATTGTAAACAAAAAATTCATGTCCCAATGAAATTTTTTCATGACTAAATATAGATGTTATTAAATAATAAAAAATTAGATTCACCGTAAATGATCATTGTATATAATCACTCAAAACATCTTCTATATTAGTAGGGTTGTGCCCAACAAGTTATAATTTGCATTTGCAAACAAAACCACAAAATCCATCCATGCAACAAACAATCCGCTAATTAAACTCCCTCACTCCTCAATTCCCTCATCAAACATTGAACATCTTCCACACACTCACTCACACATCAATCTTCCTTCTCATCAAACAAACACAAGCTAAAAAAAAAAAAAACCCACAAATGACCACAACTTACGGCACGATTCCTGCAACGCCGCCATCCGATGACCGTCGATGGATCCGGTCGGGTGTCGGGACCCGCCGCCCATGGTCGGAACTCGTGGCTCTGCCATTCTCCTTCCCGGACAACCTTAAAACCGCCGCCCGCCGCCTTAGGGCCAACGCCTCGTATTTCCATGTCAACTACGCCATAATCGTCCTCTTCACGATTTTCCTTAGTCTACTATGGCACCCTTTAGCCCTCATACTCTACGTCATAATCATGGTCGCGTGGCTCTTTCTCTACTTCTTACGGGACGCCCCGGTTGTCTTATGTGGCTACGGCGTGGAGGAGCGCTTGGTGTTGGCGGCGCTTTCGGTTTCGACGGTGGCTCTTCTGCTCACGACCCGAGCGGTGGTGTTTCTTGTTGGAGTGGTGGCCGGTTTGGCAGTGGTGGGGGCCCACTCGGTGCTTAGGAGGGCATCTGGAGATTTGGGTTTCGATGTGGAGGGTGGTGGCACGGTGGTGGTGGATTTGAAGGAGACGAGCTCAGCTTCGTATTCGTCGGCATCTTTATAGTGATTAGAGAAGTGAAACATTTGTGTTTTCTTGATTTGTTTGAAGTTCCTATACATTTGTTGAGTTGACATGTGATGATCAAGTTCATGAGATTTGTGTGAGAATATTAATCAATTACCTACCTAGCCATATGATGCCTTCTCAACAATATAATGTGTGATACAAATCATTTTAGCCCATTGATAAGACTTTCTTGAGCTCATTTTTTTATTTTTATTTATTTATTTATTTATTTATATTTATCTATTTTGTTTGGGGTGAAAGAAAATTTTCATTTTTTCTCGAAAAAAAATTAACTTCACTTCCACTCTTCTTACCAACGCTCTCAATAGTTGAAAGAAGTGCCAATTACAGATGAGCCCGAAATCAAAACCCTAATTCGATCCCCAATTCCATCTCCTCTGACGCGCATAACCAAGATCAAAGGCAAAACAAGAACGGAAATGCAGGCGTGGGTCCCACTATTCGAAATTTTCCTAGATTCACCATGCCCCGAGAGCGAGGCCTCACTATGGCTACAGAAGAACTTCAATCCTTCGTCCAATTCAACTCCCATTTCAACTGCCTCTCTCATTTCACTGCTCACAAGACCCGTTGAGTATTCTTCTACTCAGGGAAAAAAGTAGGCCCAGATGAAATTTTCATGTTATTTTTTAAAAATTTACTACTATTGTAGTGGATTGTGTTGGTGTTCATTGTTTGTGCATGTGGGTGTGTGATAAAGATGATATTTTGTGTGAAAAAATGGATTTTTTGAGCTTTCCGTTTTGTGGGCGAGCAGGGTTGTGTGGATAGAGACACTGCCATGTACGGTCCAGGCGAGGATTTTCTCGTTTCTTGCGTACGACCATCGGAGGTTCTGCAGAAGGGACCTGTGCAGGCTTGCCCAAGTCGTGCTGAGTGGGGAAGGTGTTCTCGATTTCTGGGTCAAGAAAGCTGCTCAGCAGCTGCTCGATTTATTGTCCATGTCGAACAATAGATGGATTTCTCATTTGAATTTGGATTCCAAGGAAGAAAACACGAAGGAGGAGTTATTCAGCTCGATGCCTGACTGGCTCAAAGATGCCGGTAAAGATGGCGAGCGGATGTTCCCATGGCTTCCTATGTTGCTGGACGAGTTTAACGAGAATATACCCAACAGCAGTAGTGGAGTGTTAGGTACTGAAGGCAATTTTTCAGTTGACATTGATGAGAGTAATCGAGAAATAGAATTAGATGAAGTGGTTCGAGAGGTTAATGTGGATGAAATGAGTCTTGGCGACCCTATAGACGAGGCAGTTGAGATAAAGGCGAAATCTTTGAAAACGCGGCTTCTAAATCTCGAATCCGCTTCGAATGCTTCGGAATTGGCGAAAGAAATTCGAGAACTTTGTTTCCGGACCAAAAGGAGTTCGTTGGTAATTTTGACCTCGGTTGAGCCGTGGATCGTGGATGACGAGACTGCAGCTGTTTTGATTTCTCATTTGTGCAGTACAACTGAAGTTTCCGAAGAGCTCGATTGGCCGGCTCGTGTATTGTGCTCGGTGGTCCTTCCCAAGTTTCTAGCCCTCAAAGAGCCGTGTTCTCGTGTTCTAATGATGGCAGTAGTTGAATTCTGCAAGGCACACCAGAGGGCGGCTGAGTATGCCCTTTTGTTTCCGTTGATTTTGCGAAAGGAGGGCTTAAATAATCCCATATGTGACGTGATCACTAGGATCATGAAAGATTGCTTGCACCCGGCCCAAGTTTCCGCATTTTGCCAGAAAGTTCTGTGTGAGGACGGAAATGCACAGAGGTTTGTGTGTTTGGCTTGCCACAGGTGTTTGGTTGGTGAGGATTTGGTGTATACAGAATCATTGTTTTGCCTTTGGCAAAACATCTTGACTTATAATGTTCGTTTGACGCGGGATTCTGTTGATGAGCTTGTCAGACGGGTTTGTGAGTTCAGCGAGAGGTATTCCAAGTCTTTGCGATTTGGAAATTTCGTTTTGTGCCTGGTGAGCAAGTGCAGTGTATTTGTGAAACCGCACAAGTTTTTATTGGCTGCTGCTGTTGAGAAAACCGAGTCCTTGGTGACAAAGTCGATACTATCGAAATTGTCTAGCTTGTAAACCTTTCATTATATGTTGTTGTTAGGCTGTTTTTGGTTGTTAGCCAAGTACATTTGCAACATATCTTTTTGCAGCATGAAGATTATCCTTGAAAATTGATTTAGTTTACATGGTTTGCTTACAAAAGCTGAGTTAAAGAACATTCATGATGCATAAAACTAGCATGAAAACAATCATAGTCAAGCTTCAGAAGTCCTCTCCATAACATCAAGACATGATGAAGCTCGTGAAAGAACCGAGCTCCCGAATCAAAATGTCAATAACAATTATGCTTGAAATGCTTGAGAAAATCCATTCGCCCTTTGTAGAGGTTTTATGGTGGTATGTCTCGATGTCACTGATCCCCAGACGAAGATTTGATTATGTTCGTATCACCTGAAAATCATTACTCCCGTGTGAACAAATACGCTAAAATTCTCAAAACAGGGGAAAAGAAGACAACTAAAACTCCAGGAAAGTACAGTAAAAAACTATACCTGGGTCAATGATACTGAGGCACGACACTCGGAAATATTTCCCGCATGCAGTTCCGAGATCAACATCGTCTAAACCATTAAAGTTGAGCATAATAAGAGAAATGAAAACTGAAACAAAATCGGGCATTTGCACCAAGTATGATGGCAACTCGACTTTTGAAATAAACGAGCGAAACACAAGAAACTAGCATCGAAATGTGCAATGGCTTAAGTGAAAAGGATGTGCCTAAGTTTAAAATGAGTACAGAGCGTCTTACGCAGGGAAAAAGGATATAAAAAGCATTACATTCTGAAAAACCCCTAAGACCATAATTTAGAATTAGTAAACATTTTGCTTCTAAAGATGAGATACAAAACCCTGCTAGAGCAGCTACCAACAGTGCAATGTACTCGATAATCGTTCAACATCACTACATTTATTGGCAAGAAACACAATTTGCGCATCCTATCGAACATTGTACGCAGCATGGATAAAGATAACTAAGGATTTAACCAAAATTAAGCTAAGATTAGAGCATCATCAAAAAAGCATGGCGTAGTACTCGATCTCAGACTTCCTCAAAGGCAAGCAACTGCTAGATATCAAAATCAACTTACCTACTCGATCTCAGACTTCCTCAAAGGCAAGCAACTGCTAGATATCAAAATCAACTTACCTACAATTAACATTAGAAAAAAAAAAAAAACAAAACAAAACATATGAAACCCACATTTTTTTAACCCACATTCTAAAAGTAAATAAAAAATATAAAAGGGAAAAGAAAATAAAAATCAGACCTTTGGAGCTCCTGAGGGTCTTGAGCACAGTCTTGTAACCAAGAGTGTATTTCCCACTCTTCATTACAAGAGCCAACCTGTTGTTGATGCCTTCATGACTTTTCTTCTGAACAACCAATTTTATCATTGTTACTCGGAGTCACAAATTACAATCATATATGCACATACATAGGTTGTAAGAATAGAGATACATACTGTTTTTGTAGCGCCCCTTTCGTATTACGTGATTTCTCGTATTTTTATATTTTTAATTGCTTGCATATTATTGTTGTCGCTTTTATCCCATTATTCCTTGCATTTATTTATTGTCATGTGCTCGTTTTATTATGTGATTCTCCTTTCGCTTTATATGATATTCCGTTTATTATTTATTTATGTACTTGCTTTATAATATTATTGCTTTTATTTCATTACTAGTACAACGCCCGTGTATTACACGGGTACTTGCTAATTTTTTCTTAAAATCTAAAATTAATGAGAAAAAATAGTTGAAAATTTGAATATCTTTTATAAAAATATATATATTATTATATATTTAGTATGACACTTTTTATTTGTGCAACTTACATGTGTTATATTATAATAATTTGTTAAACTTACAACATATAACTACATTAAACATAAATATATCAATTGAGAAATAATTTTATTTTTCTAATGAATTATAATAAATGTTATTATTTTTTATTATTATAAAGATAAATATAATTTATTATTTCATATATACAATATGGATGTCAAATCGAAGATCATAAAAAGATGATTAATTTGATATATTATATATGTAAAACCGATAAGAAATATAAAAGTTATCAACTTTTAAAATACATTTATAATTCAATAGCTAATTGAAGAAAACAAATCAAAAGTCATCCTCAGTATGTAAAATTACAAAGAAATAAAGGATTATATTAGTACAAGTGATATTAAAATATCTAAGTTAGCTAAATAATATTTATGGAATGTCCAAACCTAAATTATTAATTATTATAATATTATTTGTCTAAACCTAATTATGAAGCATTATTCTTTGCCAAGTAGGATTCCGAAGCACCAGAAGCAGCCACGTAGGCTCAGAGCATTCGGGAATAATATATAGGGAGGATACTTATTTGCTTGCTCGAGTATTGATGTTGATTGCTTGTTTATGCCCTATATGATTTAACTGCATTATTCTTGTATTATTATGTGATAAAGTTTGTTGTTGTTCATGTGTATAATGAGTTAGAATTATTTTAGTTATTAGTTTAATTGTACGGAATTTTTCGGTTCTATCGCGTAGAACCATTTTCGATCTGTTTAGACTCGTTTTTAAGAGATTTGATCCAAATCTTGTAAATTTTTATTATCGACCCCAAATTGCTTGTGATCTCGGTCCAATTGAATTAGAAACCTGGGCCAAGCACTACAAAAAAAAATTGTTATATTCCAACAAAAAATTCTATAGTAATATATTGTAATGGAAATTCCAACGGATATTCCAATGGTATAGCTTCTGTTGGAATAGTTCGAACGGAAATTCCAGCGAAAATATTCCGTTGGAATGTGTTTTTCATTAGAACTTTAGATGAAATTTGATGATTTCAACGGCTTTATTTTTAACGACTCTTTATTGTAGAAATTTTCGTTGGAATTTATATGTCCACCCCGATTGGAAAATCTACCGTTTGAATCGTCAAAATCCAACGGAAATTCCAATGGAAAACCCAATCCGCCGGAATATTTTTGTTGGAATTTCCGTTGGAATCCATTGAAAAATTTCAACGCAAATAATAGTATTGAAATATCCGTTGGAATTGCCGTTGGAATAATTCTATTGAAATATATTTCCGTTGGAATCTCATAATTTTCTCGCAGTAAATGATTTTGAGAAATCCTCCCATGGCCTTGGAGAGATTTTTCTAGCACCATTCATATAGCCTACTGTCTTAATTTTTAGAAGCAAATGGACCAAATATCCCTCGCCCTTTAATTCGGCCAAGTTACTCCTTAAATAAGGGAAGATTTTGATTTCCCTTATCTCCATATTAATCCTCTCTCCTCTCTCTACCTTGCACACGGTTTTATTTTCTTCCAAGCATTGGAATTTCTGAAAACATAAACCTCGTTGTTCCGATGTTCGTTCTTTCGAGTTTTTGGTTCCGAGTTCCAATGTTCGTTCTCTCGTCCCGTCCGATTTCCAACCGAGCTCGTAGATTCCGTGAAGTATGGCTAATCCCCTCCTTGTGATATTTTGTTCAAGCTCGCGTTTCATTACATTGGTTTTTATTGTACCCGTTGGATCGACTTTCGTCGTTTGTTTATAAATCGGTTTGTATATTCGTTTTGTTTGTTGTGTGGTGATTTCGTGAATTAATGTGGATATCGGAACTCTCGATTTCAAAAATCGAGACTCTAGCCGTTGTGATTATATCGTGTAATTTGAAGCCTCTTTTATTGGTTGACTTTCGTTTTTCTTCATGAACCCTTAATTCGTCATTTCGTATTTTTCGAGCCTAAAACCCCGTTTTTAATTATTTTTTAAACTCTGAAAATTATCTATTCTATTTTTATTTTTGAGGTTTTTGAACCCGGTTGTTGAGGAGTTGAAATGCCCGTCACAATCGGTTCCGGTTCACAGCCCCTGTTCGGTAGTTTTCCAGCCTCTGTCCACATATTTTTCCCCAGCTCTGCGTGGGAAAAAGACATAACTAACTCATATAAACACAAAGATTCTATTAATACACCAGTCACATATATTTCCATATACACCCCGAATCACTTCCAAAACAGGGAAATATATAACTACCTCATATGCATATAAATAAAACTATCTAATTAAAAACCGTTAATTATTTTCTTTATCTTTATTCATTCTCTCTCTTCATTATCTTTCCCACGTAATTTCTTTTTCTTCTTTTTCTCTTTTCTTCTTTTTCTTTTCATTCCAAAATATTTGTTCTTCTTCTTCTCTTCCAAACATGAAAGGCTGTAAAGATTCATATGAACTCAGCGAGAGAGAGAGAGCGAAGAACATGAAAAGGGAAAGCTTCATTATCAGAAAAATGTGAAAGCGGAAAAATGAAAAGTTAGTGTACAATTAGGGTTAGGTACCCTTTTATATGGTGGACTTATTCTAAGGGTACAAATACTAAAGCACAAGGTACAGGTAAACCTAACTACATTTAAATCTAATGCGTACAACTAAACCTAACTACATCTGATCTAATACATACAATTAAACCTATCTACATATAATCTTATACCTCCCGCAAGAGGAGCATGTATATTCAACATGTTCATCTTGGATAAATTCTGTTGAAACACTTGAACCCCCAAAGGCTTGGTAAGTATGTCAGCAACTTGATTTTGGAAAGAGATGTGCTGCAAGGTGATGAGCCTTTTAGCTAGTTTTTCCTTGATCAAGTGACAGTCAATTTCTATGTGATTTGTTCTTTCATGTTGGACAGGGTTATGAGCAATGGCAATAGCTGATTTACTATCTGAAAATAAATCAACAGGGTCAGCATGAATAATATGTAAATCATGTAAAAGATAGAGTAACCATTGTGCTGCACAACTAGTCCCCTGTATTCTGCCTCGGGTAATGATCTACTAACAGTAGTCTGTTTCTTAGATTTCCAGGAAATTAGGGAAGAACCAATAAAAATGGCATAACCAGTTATACTCTTTCTAGTATCTATGCAGCCAGCCCAATCACTATCAGAGAAACCAGATAAATGTAAAGTAGAATTTTTGGGGTAGAAT